TGTAGACATGTATTGTTAGATAAAAATTTTGCTTGTAGACATGTATTGTTAGATAAAAATTTTGCTTGTAGACATGTATTGTTAGATAAAAATTTTGCTTGTAGACATGTTTTGTTAGATTAAAAATTTTGCTTGTAGACATTTATTGTTAGATAAAAAATTTGCTTGTAGACATATATTGTAAGATCAAAATTTTGCTTGTAGACATGTATTGTTAGATAAAAAATTTGCTTGTAGACATATATTGTAAGATCAAAATTTTGCTTGTAGACATATATTGTTAGATAAAAATTTTGCTTGTAGACATAATTATATTGTTTAACATATTTATAAATTGTTATACTTTTTTAAATTGATATTAATATTTTTGTAACAGTGAAGGTATTACTTTGGCTAACAGCAATTATCTATGATTTACTTTCTTGCTTGACTAATGTGTAGCATATTAAAGGCCCATTTAGTCCTCAGAATTACTTTTATTTTTATTTCTTATAAGCTTTAAATTTGTGTTGTACTTTTATACTTTCCAAAACATACTCATATAGAAGACATTTCTCTCCTGGATTATATCTATTAATTTTTCATAACCTCACATTTCAATTCCATCTACATCTACAAACCATTTGCTAATATTGACAATATAATTCAAAGTGACATTATGCCTACCCAAGTGCAAAAGGTCAGTGTTCAGGTAAAATTAAAAATAAATTTACATTAACATATATGAAAAAAATGTCTCCAGTGTAATTTATAATCCCAGTGACCAACAAAAATATTGATAAATATCTTTTTGAAATTATTGAAAAAGTTCAGTTTATAAAAGTGTGGTGCAGTCTTTTTTTATTTTATGTAGTTTTTTTCTATTTTATCGTATTGGATATTTGTAACTAACAATTATTACACAACCGCCATTAAAATAGTCAATCTTTTAAAATATACATCAAATTTATCTCAGCTTGACATTACAAAAATAAACATAAATTATAATGTCAACATCACTTTTACATTAATTTTGTATGTTTATCATGTACTTAATTATTATTAATCTATTAACCTATTTTTACCCTTTGTTACATAATGCCATAATTAGTTTACTTTTATTATATTTGATAGAACTGGTTGTTACTTTTTTCTAACATTTCTAGTCAGATTGTTTAGATTTTTTATGTTCACTTTTACACATAGATTTATACATTTAATTCATTCATTTTTATACTGGATTGTTTTTTCATGTTATAGTTTAATGAAATAATGCACATATTTTTAGTAATAAAAATTCAAAAACTGAATAATAAAGTTTTATTTTGTCATTTACTTAACTGATTTCATCAATATCTTCAATGTGTTTAACTCATCTCAGTTCTTTATAGAAAAAAGAGTCATGAAGGTAATAATTTATGCCCCAAAGGGAGGCATAATATAATCGCACCATCTGTCCGTCGGTCTATGCGTCCCCACTTAATTCGTGTTTGGACTGTAACTTTGTCATACATGGAGGTATTTTGAAATAACTTGGCACAAATGTCTACCACATCAAGACGATGTGTCGCGTCCAAGAACTGTGTCCCTACCTCAAAGGTCAAGGTCACACTATCATTTTGAAGTTTCACATTATCGCAATTAGAGAAAATAGGTACACACATTCGTGACCGGACTGTAACTTTGTCTTGCATTAAATGATTTTAAAATAACTAGGCATAAATGTCTACCACATCAAGACGATGTGTTGCGTCCAAGAATTTTGTCCCTACCTCAAAGGTCAAGGTCACACTATCATTTTGAAGTTTCACATTATCACAATTAGAATTAATAGGTACACACAATCGTGTCCAGGCTGTAACTAAATTGTCATGCATGGATGGATTTTAAAATAACTTGGCATACATGTCAACACCATGAACACTATATGTCGCGTCCAATAATCACGTCCCTACCTCAAAGGTCAAGGTCACACTACCATTTTGAAGTTCACTTTATCACAATTAGAGTTTACGGGTACGGACTGTAACTTTGTCATGCATCCAAGGATTTTAAAATAACTAGGCAGAAATGTCTACCACATCAAGACGATGTGTCACGACACAGACCCATGTCGCTACCTTCAAGGTCAAGGTCACACTTATAGTTTGAAGGTACTCATTCTCTTGAGAAGAGTTTGAAGATACACATTCATGTCCGGCCTGTAACTTTGTCATGCATGGAAGGATTTTAAAATAACACAAATGTCTACCACATCAAGACAATGTGTTGCGGCTAAGGCTCATGTCTGTCTGTCCGTGTGTCCCCACTTACACAACAATCATGTCCAGACTGTAACTTTGTCATGCATCGAGGGATTTTGAAATAATTTGGCACAAATGTCTATCTCATTATAACATTATGTCATGTCCAGGAACCACGTCACTTCTTCAAAGGTCAAGGTCACACATTTTGAAGGTTCATGCTATCAAGAACAATATCAGCAATTAGTTACTTTCATTGTCTTTTCTTTTCATAATACCTGCATGCGTAAGAAACCTTTTCGGGGGCATTTGTCACTTGGGTGACACTAGCTCTTGTTGGATATGTGAATAATTTGTTTATTTCATATACATGGAATAACAAGAGCACCGCAAAGGTGGGGCAATATATGCCTTAATGTAAATTTGAGTACTCGAAAATAATTTTTCAATTAGGGAAAGACCCAACCAAGAAACTTGTCTGAAAAATGTTTTAACCTCCAAGCCGGGAGCATTTTTTACCTTGCTGCATGATTCATAAAATTTCTACAGACTACCAAGCAATGCTCTATGATATCTCAATCTGATATATATCAGCTCCTAATTAACACTATGCATTAGGATCTGAGGATCATCAATAGGAGGACCTTGTGACATTTCAAACAACCAATCATTGGCGAGCTTTAATAATTTTGAAAGCTATGCAGTTTCTAATTTTTATGATATTCAGAACAAACATGACATCCATAAAGCCGGCAGGGATGTTGCACTTCTTCATTAATATTCATCATGTACGGAAACAATTAAACATCAATTTTCATATATATATTTTTATAATCAATGCTTCCCAGGGATCACTCTTTCTCCAGATTTTTAAACTTTTTTATTATATATGCTAATCTAAGTCTATATAAATTAAGTGACCTCTTGGGTTAGCTATATATTGACACAGTCAAAGTACATGATGTAGAGTAAAATACTTTGACTAGTCTTTGATTCAACAACATCTAAATAACTTAAGATTTGAACATAAGAAAGTAGCACAGTTATTTAATATTTATTCTCATCAAAATTTAGTTTACTATAATTTTGTCAAATTCACTGGTGAAGCAAACAGCAATTCATCATCATCAACAAAAGGGTCATTAGAAATTTCTTCATCAACAAAAGAATCGTCAGAAATTTCATCATATTTGTCTAAGTTGTCTGTAGGCGTCATCTCTTTAATCAGATGTTGCTGGTTCCGACCTAAATGTTTCTCCGGAAACAACCGGATCAAATCGGTCTTCGTCAAGTCATGATGTTTCTCCATATGTACCCAGTATGGTGATTTTTGGAGAAATCTTCGTAGGCATATATGGCACTCGTGTGGTTTTACACCTGAATGAATTTTTTCATGTCTGATTTTACTTCTCTCGCTCGTAAACTGCCTTCCACAAGTCTCGCATTTCATTTCCTTATTATGTTTTACACACTGGTGTAAATCACGTTCCTCAATAGTATTAAATGACAGTCTGCAATTTTGACATCTGTGTTGTTTGTTACTGTGTGCGTATGATTGATGACGTTTTAAAAGTGTATGATTTTTATATGATTTATTACATATGTTACATATATATGAATAATCTGTAGAATGCGTAAGCTGGTGAGTTCGAAGTCGTCCAGGTGTAGCAAAACTGTTCTCACATACAGAACATTGTAACCATGTACTTTTATCAGAATGTATTAGTTTCTCATGCATCTGTAGTGAAGTCAGATTGGCGTAAGCTTTACCACAATACTGACACATAAAAGGTGTTAAACCAGCATGAAAATTCATATGACCTTCAAAATGACGGATGTGCTTGAATGTTTTGCCACACTGTCTACAATTTAATTCTGATTTTGGCTCATTCCTCCACTCTTTTTTCAACTTCTTTAATTCTTCTTTTGGTAGATCAACATTAGTGTCTATCCCATAAAAGTCTTTAATTTTTGAAATTTCAAATTCATCATGGCCAGATTTTTCATTTGGCATCAAAGAGTAACTTTCTTCAAATTCTGGATACCATGTACCATCAACAACAATCTGGTCAGGCTCACTTTTCATTTCACCTTTACCAAGTTTTTCATCCCATTTCTGTCTTTCAATAGTAAAACTTTTTGAAATGAGTTTTCCATAGAAATAGTTATTGTCTTCCAAATAATCAGTCTTATTCTTGTTATCATGAACAGTATCAATTTTTTCACAATCAGATTCATCATCATTGGAGAACTCTGTTTCTAGATTTCCAACCTCAGTCTTAAATTTATTTGGCTTTTTCTTTTCCTTTTTAGTAAACCTTTTCAATACTCTTTCTTTTCCAGATTTATTTCTCATGGTTTTGTCCACTATTTCTGACACAGCCATTCTCTTTCTTCTTTTCTTAGGAAAACTGTTAGGAATTCTAAACATATTCTGTTCATTATCACTTTTATCACTATCAACATCATCATTATCTCCAACAGTATTATCATCGTTATCATTTACAAAACTGGACACATTAAAATCAGGTGCTACACTGGAAGATTTAAGAATAAGTTTTTCTTCAGAATTTTTTGTGTCAATTTTCTTACTTAGTTTGCTCGCTTTACTTGCAAACTTGCTCTCATTTTCTGTGCTGGCACATTCCCTTATCTGTTGCTTTCCAGTTAAATCCCTATATCTGGTATTTGCAGAGGTTAAGTCAGCGCTGTGATTTTCTACTCTTACTCTATGTTCATTTTTAAAAGGTTTCTCCAGTTCTTTCACAAATTTAACAGCCTCTTTATCCTTGCTTCCAAGAAAATGTCTATGATACTTAGCATAGTTCATCCTCTTCTCTTGAATATCTTCAAGAAGACCAACTTTTGCTGAAAACCTTTCATCTAGAAGGTAATCTTGTTGCCCTGGTGTCTGGGTTGATGCACATATTGAGTCATATTTTGGAAATGCAACTCTGAGCACGTTATCAAAATGATAAGATCCACCTGAACTATGCCCTGTTAAATGCTGATGAAGCAGGCAAATTGAGCTTAAAACCTTGCTACAAACACCACAAGTGAATGGACCAAGTTTATTGGAGTAACAATTGGTTTCAGTGCAGATATGATTCATGGTGACTGGTCGTAGATTTGTTCCTGATGATCTTTGAGTTCTCACCGTAGAAAATGCTGATCTGCATTCACTCTATTAATGTCAGGAACTCATACTTGATACTACGAAAACAGTTTTCTTTGGTAAGTTTGAATCTGTCAATTGCTTGAAGATAAGATGCACTTTATACATATTTTATATGTGTGCCCTTCAAACTTCAACTTATTGTATAATCCAGAATCTAAAATAGAAAAAAATCAAGTAATTGATAAAGTGTTTTATCATATACCCATGCTGCTTTAGCGACTCTGTAAAAACCGGTATTTTGACGTGACATGATTTGACAAATATAACATAAAGATGCTAAATGGTTTTTTTTATTTTCAAATTTTTTACACAATACAAAACATTTATGCATATACATACAATATATGAGATAAACGTATAAGGAGGAATAAGAGATTACTTTTTAGAATCTACAAAGTTTATAAATATAATAAAGGTAATAATTCTACAGTATTTTAACAGAGTTGACAAATTTTTAATACCAGACTTATTTTAGTATAACACTAGCCAAAGATTCATTTTCGTAAACTATTACTTTAAATATTATAGAACTTATTTGACATATAAAGGAGAAATTCCAATTTTACATTGAACTTATATTGGAAAAAAATGTCATTAATTCAAGGGAAACAACTCCTACTATCTTAAAATTGATATCCATTTAAGAGTTGCACCTCTTGTCATGAATACTTTATGCATTTATATCATGAGAAAGATTAAAAAAGACCAAAGGTCATTCAAGGTGTTTAAAAAATAAGGATACAAAAAGGGCAGTGGGTGCAATACAGAGTGGATCAAGCCTAAATAAATGATCTTAAAACATTAGTCTCAGTTAGGCAGCAAAGAAATATATTTTCCCCATAAATTGTCAAACTTTGAAACTTTTTTTTTTTTCACTATACAATTGTGTTCTCAAAAGAATAGCGACATAATTTTTAAAAAGTTGAACACTTGGAACTGTCTTCTTTAATTTGCATCTATAAAGAGTATACTTTCCCAAGATGCTAAATGTTAGCTTGCATTATATAGACATGTAAATATAAAAAAAAAGATTATTTTAACTGTAAACAGTTCTTATGCTGGGTACATGATAAATAAAATAATGTGCAGATTCACTTATTAATTTATTGAGCTTGTTGTATATATTAAGATATATTATTATATATTATTGAAATTCACAATATTTGTTTCAGCTAGCAGCAAACTGTATGCGAACAAAGAAAGATTTAGGTTTGCATTGACATCTTAATTTAATTCAAACATTTCTCCCCACCACCTCCTTAATCAGTTAATCACTATCTCACAGGTACTTGAAACAAACTATTTTAAATGTTATATATAGGCTACATACTATAATAAGACTATTATAGTATATAGCCTATATAGAACATTAAAAATAGTTTGTTTCAAGTACCAAAGGGGTGTCAAGTACCTGTGCACTATCTTTACAATTGGTAGGCCTAAAATTTAAATAACGTAACCATTTTGAAGAATAGGCTGTCTTAAAAACTGAATTTAAATATTATCATCTAGACATACTTACTTATCAATTCAAACAAGCGGCAATCACGCGAGATAAAATCAAAATTAATTAACACTTTTGTTTACATTCAGCAGATACGTACATATGGCGTACAAATTATAAAGGGAAATAACTCAGTAATACGTTAGCCGCTATCGTGTAATTTTACTGCTGTGCTGTTTTCTCCGATAACAGTCTCGTCAATAAAATGAACAGTGACATGAAATGAAGCCCCCATTAAAGTTTATAGCGACTGTATATGAATTACTGGTGTGTACAAGTATGATAAAAGATGAAGCACGAGGACCTTCGTAAGTTACCTCGCTGACAAGTATATAGCTGAGTGTAGCTATACTGAGTGTAGGCCTAATGTCTAATATTCTGTGCTCTTCTTTTAAATTTGCAATTCAGCGTTTTTGTAAGCATTCAATATAATGAATCAAAATCTAATAAGGCGGCTTAAGTCTGACAAGAAAAAAGGGGCAGATTAAAATAAGAGGCAGGAGGTACTCCACTGAGGTACGGCCGAATGTCACAAAAAAAAGTAAAATTTCACGAACCGATATTTTTTGTTACCTGCGAGTTAGGGACATTCAAACAGAATCAGTGATACATTGATAGGTGTTTTTTGGATTGGCAAGTCGTTTGAAATACATATTTTCTCCAATTTTGTGGGAAAAGCGTTTAAACACCTTTCAGTTTGCAAATCTGAATAAAAACAACGGTCACGTGATGATTCTCGGGATGACTAAAAAGCGAAACGGAGAATTTTTTGTGTATCGGCAGCAACGAAAGTGCGAAACCGGAATATACCAACAATCCATAAATTTAAAAGCAAATAATGGGTTTGTTTGTTAATTTCTTTGTTGTTCACATATGTTCTTGTGAGAAAAATCTTTCAAAAGCAATTTCAATATATTTAAAGCATTACATTGTTGTAATCATGTTTTTTTCTCCATTACAATGATGAATTCAGCTAAACGTACGGAGTTCGAAAACTGACATACACAAATTTTACAAATATTCTATGTTAATTTGAGAGCTTTCGTGTAATTATTAAATATTATGTATTAACTTTGTAATGGTTAAATATCATGATATCTAGGCTAAGAAAATTTACTTTGTCAATCAGTGTAATGGGTCCTATTTCAAAGGTCACTTTGGTTTATATCTGACACCCGTTCAGGAAAAAAAACTTCGTAATACTCTTTTATACAACGAACATGAATTTGAGTATTGTAAGCATAAAAAATCACACGCACACACAGAATGTTATTCCAGAATTTTCCTCTTTAACTCTGATCAAAGCACTGAAAGCACTGGCTAAATAGAGAATGAATCCGGCCTCATTAATAGGACATTTAGGCTTCAACTTTATTAGATAATATTTCTAATGTATGTCTAGTGCACATAATTAAAATTCTTTAAGAAAAAAATCGATCTCCTTTGCTAGATAGATCTGAAATTTAATATTTATCATTTTACATACATACTTGCATATTTATCCGCATTGGATGTAAACTTTGTTGATGAAAAGATTACTATGTTTTGATCTAGACATTCAAAACTATAGGTAATTGATACCTGTTTCATGCACATGGTAAACATTATCAAGAAGGTCGGAAAAGAGTTACAATCTGGCTCTATTAATATTATTATTATCATTATTGATTTAGCAGATATCCTGATAATTTTTTTCTTATTGGAAGGCCTCCGTACTAGTGATGGGTCAATTGAGCTGTGCTTTAATGTTACCAATATATTGAAAGCTTCCCGGTGGAAAAGAAATTGAGAGCGTTATAAGAGTAAAAAAGGAAAACTGGAATAAAGACAATCAAGGCGACGGCAACGTTCACATGACGCAGCCCCCGACATAGTCAAGCTTCCACAGCAGGGTTATTGCCGTGACTAGTGAAATAAACTTAAAACTGATTATATAGTTGTTGTTTTTTAAACCCTAACTTTCTTTCAAATTAAACGAAACAAGCAAAATCATGATACAGCAAGACAAATGTGAAGGGCAGGTAAGTAAAAGTAACTTTAAGAATTCAGTAAGATATTATTAACCTCACCTCATACAACAACCATTGCTTAAACTGTGTTTTATAATACTTCCAACTCCTAGACGGTAAAGGGCAATGCATATATAAACCATTGTTTTTACTCCTTATAGCCTGTTTATCATGGCATACTCATTGTTAATAGTTTTGTAAATGTTTTGATAAAAAAAGTCGGGTTCATTTCCCGACTATTTTGAAAACACGAGTGACTGGTTTCAAAAACTACAATGGCTAAATATTGATCGGATGCATTTCATTGCATAAATAAGTTAGGGAGAGAACGCTGCTTTTCTTTCTTTATAGCACGAAAACCTTTACTTTTCTCTACTTTTGTCTCTTCTTTCTTCCTGTTTTTCATTTTTGTTGTTTATTCTTTTTATTTACCACTTGAAAGCCTGAAATTAATGTTTTCATTGATAATTTAGCTGTGGTCCTGTTTTTGCTTGGTCGTGTGGGTGTTGTATTCATTGAATGTTTTACCATTCCTTTTTGTATTTCTGATCGAAGATTAGGAAATACAAAGCTAACATTCAATCTCTGACACAACGGTTTCACGACAAAACTAACAACAAACAGTTCTTAAAACAGCTGAAAACTACCGATTTAAAAGAAAGAAATATTTTCATTTTGTTATAAGTATCCAACAAATTACAACGCATTCAAAGTTTAAAAGTAGCTTTGGCTTATAGAATTGTCAATGAATGCACATTCACAAATTACGCGGATGAATATCATTTTAATCAATGAAAATGCTATTTTAAGCGATGTCGAGAGCTTATTTCACAAATAAATCTGACTGTCGAGTAGTGGAATATATACATGTCGGACTGTTTTGGCGAGAGGATTTTTGTTAAATTATTTACATTAATGTTAAACAACAGGTTTATCTTGAACAAAAACCTCGAAATTAACCCGAAATGCAGTGAAAAATCTAAATTTAGTATTACTTGATTTTATTCAGGCATTGTTCGTATATCTTCTCCGTGGTGCAAGGGTAACGCGCTCGTTTAGTGTGTCTGGGGTTCAAATCCAATTCAAGGCAATTATTTTTTATAAAGTTTCTTTGTTAAGGAAATAGCCACGATATGCAAGGATAAAGTGTGGCTGTCATGAAAATGAACATAAATGATTTTTTGATGCAACTCTAGTCATGCAAAATTTCATATGTATCAAACTCTGGTACCAAGCAAGAAGAATTATAGTACATAAAAATAAACTTTTACGGGAAAATAATACAGTTATACAGTGCCATTTATATTTCAAAGATCAGAAAATACCACAGAGCTTGCAGCCTTTTGATTTATCTTGTTTTTCGTATGTATTTCTGGAGATTAAATGGGTGGTTCTCGTAATACTTTAAGATTCATACGATTGTGTATTAAAAGCCTTTGTAAATTGTTTCGGAAATACTGGATATCGTTTTGAAAATTTTAGAGCTACTTAAGTATTTTAAACACGTGAACGAAAAATTTCACAGTAACAGGAATTAAAATTAATTCCTAAATATTTCGATTATAGTGATTATACCGTAATCAAAACGTTAAAGGTCTCCTAAGAAATGTTCTTTGGAATTAAAAATTAAGTGTAAGCACTAGAACATAAACCACCAGATTGCTTGCAAAATCTTTAGCGGCAGGATAAATTGTTTACAAAACATGATTTTTCACAGTCAAGATCAAATGAACAGACTGTCATTTTCTTCCTGTTACCGAATGATACGAACAGACTGTCATTTTCTTCCTGTTACCGAAAAAAACACGTAGAGGACATGTCACTGACAGAATGTTCTTAATATTTGAATAGAAAAGAATTTGCTAAAGCAATTTATGAAAGAGAAATCGGGGATGCTACTTATTAAATTATTTGCCTATAAAAGAGGATTTATTTTACTCGTTTAGATTATTTTCAAAAACAAAAAGTCTCAAAAGCAAAGGTTAGCTGATATTTAGATGTAAACCGCGACATATAAAATTAATTTACCTGTGAAAACTGGAGTGAAAATGTGATAGTTTATCCGTTTTTTCTTCAGTGCCTTCAAGCACTTTGATCTTATCTGTAGTACAAGTAAACTATATCGTTTCACCAAAATATCATTAAATTCTAAACAAGTTTCTAATAGAATCATAAATATTTATTGTATCATAGTTTGAAGACTTTTCTGTTGAAAACGTGTCAGATTTAAATCGAATTCATATACATGCACAGTGCGTAACTGGAGTGCAGGTAATAAATACCAACACTCCAGAGCATGCCCATTGATGTATTCATTCTTTTTTTTTTTTGGGGGGGGGGGGGTGCTTTTATGGAATAACGTTAGAAATGCCACATTCAGAAGCTAGTTCATAGGTTTTTTTCTGGGGTTTCATATTGTTACAATAGGAAACGTGCATTTAATTTTGCCTATGGTATGAATATGATGTAATTGTGTGTGGAACGTGTATGTACGATCCTATCAAGATAGCCTACGAAACGTCACTCATTACATACACAGATGCCTGTTTGTGCCAGAAACAATTTTGCAAAGGGGGCACCTGAGTTCTTTTCTCCACCAGTAAAACTGAAGAGTCGCCAAATGACCTACACAGTTTTGTGTGACGTAACCCCCACTCCATCCCAAATACAAACAATCAAATCAAATGAGACATGTCATTAACTGTATTTGATTTAAATACGTTATAGATAGCGTTAAATACTTTTATTAGTGTGATAACACTGTACTCGTTTTAGTATAAATATCACCGATGCATTATGTTTGCCTTAGAATATTGAAATTGAAACTGAAATGTCAATGAAAATAATTGTACATGTATATAATATCTTCCCGTTTTGTCTAGAAAATGACCGCTTCGCTGGCGTTTGATTTTTCAAGACAACGAAATTGCTTCCTTGATTATCTTTTATACAGTTTTTCTTCGTTATACTCAAGTTATATAAACATGATAAGTTAGAGAGTTGAGAAAAAGTCAATAGACTTTTTTACCCCCGTTTACTCTGTTGTTCCAAAAATGTCCGTTGCGTATTTTAGTTATACCCGATGAATTGTGGGTAACTTCTGTACATGTCTGGGAAAACCAACTTTCATTTTTGCATCAAAAGCTAATGAGAATATGCATTTTCTAGCATAATTGTTGTTAGAGGGTTGGTTAAAGTGTAAGTTATTGTTATTTTAGTCATAATATTGTGATTTGTGGGGAAATTTGTATGCATTTTTTTTTGGACACCAAATTACCCGTCAGACCTCAGTGTAGCCCCTTTAAAGGGGGAGGGAAATAGGATCGGTATGTTGCATCAGATTCAAGTGGTCCGCACATTAAATGTTACCCACATATATTCAACGAATGTGAAATGGTTTCCAAATCGATGAAAATGTACATTGAAACGGTGATGGTCGTCCTAGGTGTACAACACGTGCACACGACCGATATATTGTTGTCCAGCCACGGCGCAATTGATCGTTTCCAGAACGCTACTTCCTTATAAAATAGTGAAAAACAGAATCCCTAAAGAAAGCCCAACACGGCAAAATTGTAAAATGTTGCAGGCTCGGTTTGATTGAGCCTGTTCATGGACGGTACTGTCAAGTACAAATTACTGTCCACGCCCCTAGCACCGGCCTTATAAAACAACTTGCAGAATATACCTTTGCAATAATTAATCCATTACGCGATATACACGCCTTTTAACGCCTTTTTCATCCCCCTTTTTGTTGTCTCAAATGGTAAAAAAATGACTTATTTAGGCCCCCAACACTTGTTTTTGTTTGAGAAATGTTGTTAAAAAAGTGACCACTTTTTCGGCGCGGCCCCCAACCAAAAGATACATCAGGGGGTTGCCAGAAGGTGGATGTGCCCCCTTCTGTTTGGTGGGGTGGGGGTTTGGCGGGGGCGGCAGTCCCCTTCATCGTCAAGAAAATTTTGGACTTGTGAGAGGCTAAAAATGAACCCAGATTGATCATAAGGTAACGTGTAACCAACGCTGAAAAGCAATTGACTCTATCTCAATCCATTGAGAAGTTGCAGCACTTTGAAATCAATTTTGATGGGAAAATCAACGCAAAATAGTGTGTTTTTTTTTGGCAATTTTGAGATGTCCCCTCGTTGCTTTGGTAACAGAAAATTGTTGCAAGGGCAATGGTCAAGTTAACATTTGTGCCAAGTTTGATTAGTATTGAAGCAGTTTATATAGTATTATAGCAATTTGAATTTGTAACGGGAGACTTTTCAATGAAAACAGCCATTTTTCACAATATGCTCATGAAGTAATGGGTTAATAGACTGCATATTTTATAATGCTGATGTAAATGTTCAGACTTCTTGTCATTCGGGTTCCTTTGACGAATAACCGCGCCAGAGGCTATAGCAATAAAGGCATTATGCAATAGCCACCTCGCAATTAGAACCATTTTGCCCTGACTTCACAGATAGACGCGCCAGAGTATAGTGTAGAGAAAACCAGATAAACGTTTGGTAGCTGCTTGCACCTCGGAACATGGTATAGGATAGGGGTCTCATGGTATGGGGCGGATTATGCGTAAATGACAAAACAGATCTCCATATATATTTGATATCCGCAAAATGACAGTAGAAAGGTATTGTCGCGAGATTCTTGACGTACATGTGCGACCATATTCATGAGCAGCGTGTTAATGCAAGAATTCTCGCTCACATATGGGCACCTCACTACTAAATACATTGCACGTGACACAAACGAGCCCTTAGCTTGTCCCGCCAGATCCCCGGACCTTAATCCGATGTGGGACATGACGTAGAGGGCCATTTCCTGTCGTCTTGTGTAGCCGGCTACTCCCGCAGAACTCCGTGCTGCCATCAATTAAAGACCAATCAGCTCATTAACAGCATGTCCATGCGCTGTCAGGCTGTAATTAATTCCCGTATACACCATGCAAGATAATGAAACTTATTCCATACAGCCTTTAGAAAATTAAATTTTCCCGCTTATATAATTTTACATTGATGTTTCAGTTCCGTAATTCGATCAACTCAGATGTTTACCAATCTAAAATAAACAATACAAGAACAACATAATGTATAATAAAATGTTTGAAATGTGTTAACATAAAATATGTTCCCACTCTCAATATTCTACTCAATTTCTTTATTCCTCTTTCTTGTTATACGCTCGGATGTTTGTTTTTTGATTGGATTTTACGTCACACCGACACAGTATAGGTCATATGGCGACGTTCCAGTTTTACTGGTTGAGGAAGACCTCAGGTGCCCTTCCGTGCATTATTTAAGGCACGAACGGGCACCTAAGTAGAACCACTGACTTTCCGTAAGCTAGCTAGATAGCTTCCTCACATGAAATAATCCAAAGTCCCTGTCGGGTTCGAACCCACAACGGTGGGGGGCAAGTAGTTTTAAAGTCAACGACCTTCACCACTCGGCCACGGATGCCCCGTGCTTGAAAGTGGTCGGCTTAATTACACGTGCACATGGGTGTTGTCCGCTTAATTACATGAACACGTGAATATGGTAGTCATAATTTCAAGAATATTTGGATGTGGTCAGCTTTATTACCCGGTCACATGGATGTAGTCAGCTAAATTATATGAACATATTGATAAAGTAGGCATAATAACACGAACACATGGATATGATCGGGCACATTTAAATATTTGGAAGGCTTAATAACACTAACACATAGATGTAGTCAGCTTAATAACAAAGGTACATGGATGTGGTCGGCCTAATGACATGAACACATGGATTTTGGTCGATTTAATTAAACGGGTCCATGGATCTGGTCAGATTAATATTATAACTTTGCTAATATAAACGTATGATATTCTAACTGATTAAAATCAAATTAAAGAAAAAAGAAAACAATAGTACTTTTTAACAAGATTACACGATGACCTGGGTCACCCATATTAAAGATTTCTTTAACGCTACTGTCTTTATTAACTAAATAGACAATAATTGTTCTTGTGTCATTTTAGATCTTGTACTTGCATATCATTTTTCATTTTAGACTCTTCATCTCCTTCGTTATCAGTACCTGTATTCTTCTGTCGAATCAGAGACGCTAAGTCCTTTTTTGGGCGCTGTTTACCAGTTTTTTCTGAAGTATCAGTTGACTTTGCTTGCACAAGCCCAGTTTCAACATTAACGGTGTCATTTCCAGACATCGGGGCAGACATTCGTCGTGTGAAAAACAAAGGAGCTGGAATTACGGATTTCGGTGTGTTGTCGGTCTCTTTAAAGCCTTTTACAGAGTCTGAACTCTCTGACAGACATTTGAGATCATCATTTTTAAGACCATTTTCTATGTCCATGGATTCGACGAGAGTAGATGAACTTTCTCGGTGTTTTAAACTCTCCTTTTCTGGAATGTATGCTTCGTATTCGTCAAATGAATTAGTTTTGTTGCTTTCTTTTCCATCCATGTCTTGTGGGTCAGTTGTACCTTTCGTAGAAAACGCTTTTTTAATTTCAAATCCAGCGCCATTGATGTTAGCATGATTAGTATCAAAGCTTACTAAGCTTTGTGTGGCTGAATTGCTAGCGGTTTCCTCTATTGTCTCTTCGTTTTGGATTCTGGTGTCTTGTTTATTTGCCGGGATAACTTCAACAGTAGGAATTCCGTCGTTATCAAAACTCTCTGTATGGCTGATATTTCCTGAATTAAACATAGAAAAGAAAACAAAATGAGCAATCCGATTTCTGATGTGATTTTATGGTTTAAAAAAGCTAAGTTTCTGCTCAATATATTATATTTGAGTTAATGAGTAAATGAGTTAATGTAAAAAGTTGCCCCGTACTTCACTTCTGTGTTGTTATATTTTTCTGGTCCTTCGGGATCATTGATGCCAGCACTATTAAGTGTTGAGAATTGAGTATCGCTCAAGCCGGTGCTAGAGGGCGTGAGAGATGTTGCACTTATTCATTATCCCTCTTATACAGACTCAATCTAACCGAGTCTGCAATTCTTTTGTAATTTTGTTGTGAGGGATCACTTTGTTTCCAGATTGTAATGAGACTCAACGTAAGATGGTGAATAACCTTTATTTCTTAGGTATTTTTTTGGGATGAAACTATTACTATGTCAGATACATGTATATTTATTACATACTGAAAAAATGGTATTAATCATAAACAAATATACATGCCTCAATTAGTTTTAGATAGACCTAAATATCCCCGCATAAAACGAAAACTTACTGATTTTGTGCAACACATATGCCCTCAAACATTGTTTAACATATAAGATATCTAAAATCGGGAAACTCTTAAACTGACGGACATATACAAATCGTATTGCAACAATTACTCGTGTCATTATCCGAACGAACACCATTGAGACAATTGCATCTTCTCGGCCCATTTCGTCAAACTTCGGATAATAGGCGTGATATTCCTATTGCCATTAAGGTTGTTAACTCAAAAGCAATGTTTATAATCAGAAATGAAATTAATTTAACGGAAAGATGCTATATATCGTACCTGATGGATCTGTAAAACTTTTAGATCTCATACCGAGATCATCTACACCGAGTGCAACTTCTTCACTTAGAGGAGGTTCAGACATGGCTAGAGAACATTCGTCTTCAGATGTCTGTTTTTGTTTCTTGTCAACAGAACGCTCAAACAGATGGTAATTAATGGCATCTTTAGTGGAATCTGCTACCTTGTTTTTGTCCAGATTGATCTCCTTCAACTTCAGGTTAGACGATTTAATCAAATGGAGTAACACCTAGAAGTAATGTTAAGTATTGTTTAAGTACATTATCATTCGGCAAAGTATATTTCGATTCATGCACAAAACAAATTAAGCAAAGCCAAAACAACCTGATAGCTCGAATGAAAAATATAATAAAATAGTAATTCGGAGCGGATGGAATATAATGACTAACAAGTATAAGATGGTTAGATATTAATCTTGATTAACTCTCTTAAGTCTTAGATCATACGTATTGTGGTGTTAAGAACTCATCCGAGAAATTGGAGGTTTACTATGATTTACGTCAAGAAAGATATACCTGTATTCTTTTAGATAAAATAACTGGCAGAGTTCACTTTTGTAGACATTTTCTACAGTTGATACAAGTTTTCAGTATGTTTAAAGGCACTCCACCGATGTTTTCTTTTAAATGACGGGACTGGAAATAATTTTTCGGGACTAATGTACCATTTGATGTAGGTCTAGACCAATAACTTATGTGCAAAATTTCAGATATTTCGTTCACTCCGTTTTTCTAAAATAATTATTGTTATTGTTTTTGAAAAGCATTGTACAATGCTTTTCACGAAAATCGGGCCAATAATAGCACAAAAGAATACGAATTACAGTTCTTTTCAGTATAGTGCTTGATTATCTTTTGCATATTTTTCTGTTGTTTTTATGTGCTCCGAGTGATCTATGTAAGTCATTTAAATGTTACCTTTTTAGTCTTTTGAACCTCAGTGGAGTTCCTTTAAATCAGTATATATCCGCAAATGGCCTATGGAAGTGCGATGAGAGTATATGAATTCCTTATGACAAAAGGGTACACTTACTTGGCCTGTTTTATCGGTAATACCAGTACATTCTAGATCTAGCGTTTCTAGAAGAGGCACTCCGGGTAAAGCTATTGCAATACAGGTTGCCACAATGTCACCGATATCGTTGTAGTCTATCTCAAGCGATCTTAGACATGACCCAGACGCTAAAGTCAAGCCGAACTTTGTCCATCCATCCGATGTTATTTTTGGATTATGACTTAAGACAAGACTGTGTAAACCTATTAACAATAAAGTAACTAGCTATGTCAGTTTGAGTACTTGAATAAAATGGGGAATATAAATAACATGTTAACATGATAAATAAATTACTACTAAAAATCAGAAAGGATCATGAAGACTTATTGGATTCGTAGTATCTCTTGCATAACTAATTTATTACTTTTTCAGATTATATACACTTACCCATTTACGATTTTCTCTTTAAAGGGATACTCAGGCAAAATAATGACAAAGTATCAAAATGATCTTATGTACTCAAATTACCCTAAGATGACATTACTTTAAAGTCCCAACATGAATTTTTGTATAAATTCTAAAATTTTAAGATAGAAGTGTAAATATATCTATACATGTTGAACGAAATTTAGACGTCGACAAAACCACCAAGTACTTTTAAAACAAGTCATGTAACTTGAAAAGAAAACCCTTGAAGTTACCACAACAGATATGCTGGATATTGTACGATTAAAAAATAGTCTAAGTCATTCATTTGACATGATCTTTAAGAGTTCACTTTGACAACTATTGTGAAATGAAAAATTTGCCTGTGTCTCCCTTTACAATGAGAGTCGATGATATCTAACTGCTACCAGTAAGACCAACTACATATTTACAAGAAGGGACCTCATTTATAATGTTAATAAACTGATTTGATTGTTAATGTACACACCAATACTATCTTTGCTCTCTTTAACGAGGTTACAAAGTATTTCCAGTCCATCGTCACCAATGTTACAATCCCCTAGGTCAAGGCTCGTGATCCGCGGATGTCTTTTTAAATGGGGATATAATATCTTGAGGCCAGAGTCCTGTATATTGTTGCCGTGTAAACTGAAAATTTAAAACACAATTGACAAATACACGTATTGAACTTTCTTGAGGTAACTGCTTCTACCCATATGATATGATCAGCCTGTACAGCCATGCCATCTGGACATGATCTGCACTGCTCGTTATACATTTTCCCAAATAAATGGTAAATGGATTTGTCCAGATCGAAATATGGACATGTCCATTTAAGATATTTAGTGTGGGGAAAGTTAAGCACGCCCGAAGATGAGCAAATACAAGCGTCCCTTAATTTTATTTCAACTAAATATAACTATATAGCATTACATCATTTACGTTTCATTACTGCATGCTTCCAGATTTATGATTTTTCCATGAACATTTTGAAAATGTATTTGAAATTAAAATATTGTGAAGTGAACAATGAAAGTAATTTCCGCATTGCAAGCGGCGCTTACAATCCACGTAAATTACCAAAAAGAGACCAAATATGCAAAAATAGCTCTTACTGCGTTAGTCACGTAGTAGAAATATGGTGATAAATACCGTAAAATCAGTCGTAAACATGACATCAATATTATTACTTAAATATATAATCTTTTTACTTTTCTTAAAATCTTTTCTCATGTCTCTCAAGTTTGATTTTCTTGAAATAGTTTGGTTCATCTGGAGGCACGCAGCTTTAATATGGTTACCATAATCCTTGTTCAAGGATAATAGACAGTCATACTTAAATGTTTCCATCCAAAACACTGACCAACGTTTTACAGATTGTAGTTTTAGAAACGTGACAAGTATTTGAAATGAGAAATATGTCCATTCTGTTACATCAATGTGTAAATGTTTAGTTTTTATGCCTGTCTGTTTTTTAGAAATAAGGGAGCTTTAAATACTGAAAATGATTTTATGTGCCTTTTAAACATGACATCCTATCCAACATGTATTTCTACTTTATTCTTAGGTAAGTTTAGCGGTGGCTGAATTATTTTCTGGTTACTATAGTAATTTCATGTGGCTTTGTGTCTAGATCCGGAGGTTAAACTACCAACAGCACCACGACCGCTCTTGTTCATCTAATTAATACGACCTGACAAAATACAAGGTATTGTCATCTGTCCGTTATATATGTCGAAAAATTGACAATGAATTGGTGAAAAAACAAACAGGAAGGAAACTGGTATAGAATTCATGACTATCCGAAATGTATCAGCCATCCGGTAAATTATATGACTTAAGCATAGTGCTATAAACTGAACTGTCAAATAAATGACTTAAGATGAATATACGTGCGTTTAATAAGCTTGATTGTTAAGATATTTTGATACATGATACTTACTGTAGACCAACGAGAGATGCATTCTTTTCAATGGCATTTGCGAGTGTTTGAATTCTGAAACTGTCTTGTATAATATCAACATTCAACACCAGGTGGCGCAGAGCGAGGCTCGTGCACGCGCCAACAGCCTTCATTACTCGTTTGAAATCCTTGTCGGTGAATTTACAATTCCTGAACGAAATCATCTCAGTCCTGTCCTTTTGTAAATCCTCACAAATTTTCTTAGCTATTTCTGAAGAAATGACGTCATTTTGATATACAGAAACACACTTCATGATGAGTTCAAATTCAAAGCATACCAAAAATAAAGTCTTAGTTAAATAATTTCTCCTTGGCTCATCTTATTTTTTTCCGGGTTAAGCTTAAATTTAGCTTTAGCACGTCATAAACTGAAGTTTCGGTAACAAACTTGAAACAGGAAATAACTATTGAAATAGGTTTTACTAAAAAGACGGAGGATTAAGTTTTCTTAGGTAATACGAAACAAATAACTGGAAATGTTATTGATTAACTTTGATATTTACCTTTCCGAATGCAGAAAGGATTAATAATTAAAAGAGGTTGAGCCAGATAATTGGGTTATAGTGTATTGGAAATCATACAATGTTGTTTACAATATCCAATACATTGGATGTTTGATTCACATTTGTTCGGTTACAAGTCGGAGATTCGACCGGAGATTTTACTGCGGATACAAAAACAACAATAAAAACAACAACAACAAAGAAACAAAAAAGAAAAACACACAAAAACAACAAAAAACAACAACAAAAACAACAACAAAACAAAACACCACAGTACTTTGTTGTGTCAAACATTCGTAGATCTGCCAAGGTATCGATTACTAATTTGTTATAAATATTGCAAATTGCGCCTTCCTGGTTATGGCGCCGTTATATGTCGCAAAGACGATAAAATGTTGCACTTGCCGCTTGTCGCCAAATGTCGCAACCGCCGCTAAATATTTCTAAATATGTTGCCGTTAAATATAATAATGATCACGTTAATGTCGCACCATTTTCCCTTACCGTTAATTGTTACAACACCACAGTTAAAGTCGCAATATCTAATTTCATGTTAAATAACTGGTATTATGTAAATATTAACGTTATAGACCAGCTATCTATGAAATAGGAAAGGATTTGCTGTGATGTACATAAAACTGGTTGAAACTGTTATTTATTTCGGTATTATAAATTGACAACCACAATTAGAGCCTAAAACACATTAGTATAAGTGTTTTTTTCCATTTAGCAACCCAGATGTCGTGCATTCGAGGTACGACACTAGCTTGAGATGTATCTTAACATATTGAGAAGTTCATTTTAGAAATATTAAATTAAAATTCAATCTCACATCTTAATTTTTGTATTTTGTGTCCCCTTTTACCTGCAAGCATGTTTGCCTGCGTTTTATCGGTAGTACGGCTATAATTATTTTGCCAGAATCAGATTACATTTTGTTTTTACAATTTTCATTGAGGCAATCTTCACGTACACTGTATATACAAAATATCAACCTAGTGTGACTTTTCTTAAGAATGTTACAGGCGAACAAATTAGCAATGTTTCTTCGAGGCTGTCTTTAATGACGGAAATTTTTTTAAATTTTATTTATTTGTATCGTATCTTAAATTTATCCACATTTGAGGCATTATACTAACATTTGTAATATTTTTCTCATGACAGAAAATATGTTAATTAATGCGAAAGTTTCTTATTGACACGCAATTATGGGACAAAACAAGATTCACTATGAACAAATTTGCCCATATATGTAAGTAATCTGTTATGTCACTCACTGTTCATAGACGTAGGGTTTTCATGTAATAAGAAATGACATTAAACGGATGTACTTCGTTTGATTTGAAATTACATTACTCTGTTTCATTCAAAATTGTTTCTTATATCGCATTGATAACTTTTCCATCTTGAGCAAATATAACTTTCGAAAGTTTAAAGGCACATGCTACAGTTACAGATTGAAAACTGTATAAAAGAAATTGTTTAATCTTTGAGCTTAGATCAAAAGCAATTGTGTAAATATGGCAACTGTTAACAACACTGCACCTTTGAAATGAATTTACCATTATAGACATACATGTAAACCAGGTTGCACATCTGTGAATAATGAACCGGCTCTGTACTTATGGCTGACTAATTTTAAAAATTTCCAATAGGATATTCCCAGATTGATAAATAGTTGTAAAAATGGAAGCTTGATAAGTGCATTTTACAAATTCAACATGCTAAGTCTTACCAGTGTAAGAATTATCCGCTGCTCAAGTTTGACGAAGGACGAAAACTGAATCCCGCTTTGTTTGCATTACTATTGTTGTACATAAACCAATTTAAAACATAATTGAAAATTAGTCTCCTTATCAACAGCAATAAGGAAAAGGCATATATATATTTAAAGTCTGCCCTTTAACAAAAGGGCGGACAACACTTTGTCCCTTTCTCGCAAGAGAATCGGAATCCTGTGATGCGTGTATGTGGTCGCACGGTCACAGGTGACAGGTATTGGCTTTTTGTTTTCATTACGCAATTCAAAGCATTTAGGATGGCTTTACCAAACACACGCTGTCTTACATCACTAAGAAAGAAGTCAAAATATTTCATTTTCTTTTCTCAAAGTCTAAAACATTTTGATTTTACGGCAATGTGACCTTCATTCGGCCCCTGTAGAGAGCATAATGTCCTGGGCAACAGTTCGAACCCTTCCACTGTTGGAAGTGACTAGACTTTTATATGAGTATAGAGCAAGGCTGAACAACATCTATTTTCCATCATGATATCCCCACAATTGATACTGGTCAAGTTCAAAATGTAAGCTGGACAAGTTCATTTATGAAATTCAAGAGATTTAGCATTAAAGTGAATGCGTGAAGAAAAATGAAATACATTGTACTTGGGAGGTAATCTAACGCAGAAAAACACGATTTATTCTGTGTAGAATTTATTAACAATTTGTAAAACAACATAAAACAGTACTGACGAAATCGTAATTTGAACAAAATTTAGCAAATCTTTGATTATCACATCTTTAAGACAAATGTAAAGTAAGTGTTAAATAGAACAAAAAATAAATAGAACACAATAACTAAGATAGTTATAATAACATGAATGGAATAATGAATAAATATATTGCAAAGTTACAATAACTGTGCTGGTAACATAATAAATGTCTTCATTGATTCTGGAAATAATTATAGTCATAGAAAACCGCCATGGGGCGGTGCTAGGGGGCATGAGAGAGCTGCACTTCCATTAGGTCTCATCTCCTCAGGCTCCACAAAACGACGTCTACGATTTTCAATAATCACTCTTTTTTTCCAATTGGTCTTGAATCAATTCCCCTTTCCAGAATGTTCATGTTTGTTGTTTGATTAAGTAAATTACTAAGAACTAACCTTTCTACGCATGCAGATTTGAACTCTTGATTATAAAATCTGTTCTAGAGTCTGAACGAATGTCAGTTTCAATGTAAGTATGTTTTCAGTATGAAATACTAAAACATTTTGAATATCCGTTTCGTTTGAAAATTATGAATGACCATCAACACATTAAAAGTAAAATTCCGTCGCACCGAATTTATTATTGTTCCTCAGTTCCGCAATAATGAATGGGAGTAATTGTTCCAGTGAATACTCCTCAACCTTCTTTCCAGTATATGATCCACCCAGGCCACCGAGTCCGCTTGCTCGGTGTCCGATTGAGTCGAACGAGCGTCGTCTTTTATGACTGCGACGTTTCATAGTTTTGCCGTTCACTAATGATTTAATGTAGTCAAAGTAAAACGGCATGTCGGATGTATTCAAATTTCTCAAAACTTCGGATTCTTCATTGTGTTCGTCTTTGTTATCGGCAATCATGATAGCAAGTTTTAACATTCTCCTGAATTCTGAATGCTCTTTGTTATAAAGGAACTTGTTCATGGCCGCCTGGAATCCTGGGTCTCTCTCAATACTCTCCTTAAGAACTGGCATAATTTTCTCGTTGAATATGTCACTGGACTGTTAGATAAAAGAAAGAAAATAAATGACAAACAATTTATACTAATGTGAGCCTTTTATTATTATCCTAATGTATTTTGGAATACTTACAAAAGAGGGCTTTAAATGCTTAAATCGTGGTTGAAAGCAATTTACTTTTTTAAAAACCTGTGAATACTGTAAACCGGGTTTAGTAGTTGATAATCAGTTTTTTAGCCCATTGTAATGTTTATTTGTAAGAATTGAAGAATTGAGAATCAAATAAATTTAATTGTTATTTTTACAATTCTGAAGCATTATTTGTTGTTATTTATTTGAAGTTCTATATACAGAATATTTATATCATTATGAATCTGCATGTTTGTACTGTTAATTTTCATTTGACAATTGCAAATTCTATATTAACTATATACATGCATGAACACTACACATTTATGAGTTAATTCCTGATCTTAATCAAAGAAAATAATTATGCTGTTACTTTAGATTAACAGTCGTAAAGAACTTTTGACATGTTTATGGCAGTATACATGTATTAATGGTTAACTTTTTTAATAAAACATGAAAAAGTCTCTACAAAAGAAGTGTCTAAAGATATTATATTTTCATCGTATTTAAAGACTATGAAAACCCTTATTTTATAATAATATAAACTCTGCATACGAGAGCATTAGATACGCACACTATTTTATAATAATAATAATAATAATAATAATAATAATAATAATAATAATAATAATAATAATAATAATTAACCAATAATTAATTATTACCAAGAAGAAGAAGAAGAAGAAGGAGAAGAAAGAGAGAAGAAAAAAAGAAGAAGAAGAGTTACTTACGCTTCTCTTGACTGACGGTCTTGACGTAACAAAGGGTAGAAGTGTTACTAACAGAACTATCATCCAAACAAAATTTAGTTTCATCGTCTGCACCAAGAACATAGTGATGATTTGAAATATATCTTTTCCTTTTTTCGCTACTAGATGGTTATCAAACTTTACTAGAGTCAATACTAATAACTTTAAGGATAAGTTGACCAGGGTTTATATTTATACCAGAGTTTAATGAAGCTTGTGATGCTGAGAGTATCATGTTTAAAATAATAACCATGATTCGTAATTATTGACTCAAGAACAAGGTGCGTTTTTAGTAATGTCATGTCAACTCGAGCGATATAATTGAAAATTGTTGATGATACGGGAATTTTTATTAAAGCTGCACGCCTCCAGGTAGGAAAAAAAAAATAATAAAGACGTATATTAAACTATTTAAAAAAATTGAAATATTGGAAAAAAAGTGCACGAAATATTTACAATCGGTATGAAAGTTTTTTGCCATTTTATAACCTCTTTTCTATACCCCTTTAGTAACAAATTAAAGGTTAATTATATGCATATTTTTTCACACGAATAATCTTATTTAAAAGTAAAATTAGTCTGCAAGTTGAAATCACGTTTATGTATACAGTAAACATTTTTTTTTTCAATTGCTTAAAATTCTTCTTTTAATTCTATAAATGCCAGTGTGAACCTGGAAGCATGCTGCTTTAAAAAAAAAAGAAAAAAGTCCCCGTTCATTGCCCCATTACACTGTCGGAACTGAACGTTTATTTCTGGCAAATATTATTGTGCAATGTGATAAATATAAAAAAATATTTAGTGTCATCTTGCCTTGTAATCATTTAATAGGTGGTGTGACAGAATTATTAAGGGGTATATATAGTGTAGGCAATGGGTAATTCGTTGAAAATATTATGTCCAGCAATGGAAAAGGCTCAGAGATCTCCATGCTTAAAAATGCTAAGCATGCTATAGTGTTGTGATAAAGTACTCAATGTCAATATTAATATGACAAAGTATTAATATTCATTCTCGAAGAAACATGCATACAATGAAAGTGTATTATTAACAATTCGTATTCAGTCAAACATTGAGGCATTCTATATATTCTGCATCTAGTGCTCATGTCTTTGCAATAGAATCAAATACATTTTAGTAAATAAAAAGTGTAAACTTCTGTTCTTTTATTTTAATCATTTTCTTAATATTCTTAATACCCGATACTTTGTTAATTGTCTGAAGAATATAAACAAGAAACACGAAGAGATTTGATTATATGCATGTTTTATTTTGAAACTTTTTTTTATCGTATTAAGTCGTATGGAGATTTACGGCGAAACAAGATACAACCGATTGTTCCACCTCCTCCATCCTACTTCATCCACAAACATTCTGTTTTATAATGATTAATAAACCCGGTAACCCTCTCCCCCAATAAGGTATCAAGTATCCATATTTACCCCAATACATTTTTAATTTGACTCAAGCGCATAATTTAATGACTTTGTCTAGTTTTTCTATTTATTTAAATATCTGTTTACATGTGTACGCATTCTTGAACAATTTTATAATCGTGGTTTAACTTTTACCACTAGCAAAGCCTCGTACCAGACTGTAACTACAATCATAGACCCCCACGCATCTTTTTCACAGCCTTTATGTTTGACTCAGAGTACATACTAATAACCTTACATGGTACGTAAATGCAAGTCATGTTGATTAAAATGGTTGTAATTTCAAAACTTGGTTCGTCATTGTTTTGTTTTCATTTGGTTTTCTTCAGTCTCATCTACCTTAATGAAAAAAAAAATCTTTTAACGAAAATCAACCTTTTGAAGGAAGGGCATATTCTTTAATTTTTAGAGACCTTAAGCTTGGATATAGAAAATGTAGAGAAAAAGTATTCAAAATAGTGCTAATTGTGGTCTACGAGATGTTTCGAAAGACTAGTAGCAGAAAATAATAACAAGAAAGGTATATTATCAGTGTTTATGATATAAATGGCATCATGGATATTTATTTAATCCATCAATTCGTTGAAAAAGTATATCAATCTTTCCAAGAAGAAATTTAATCAACCTGTCGTAAATGTCGTAGTTGAATTTACATAGTGTATGCAGCATTGCCATGAAGTCAAGGGACAGGACGTAAAGTGGTTACACACTTGGTTCATACGAGCACAATAGTTGCAAACTATAGATAAAAAAGGTGATCGAACCAGGAAATTTTTATTTTCATCAGTTAACCCCCCAAAATATCAAGGGCATTTGAAAATAGCATTGAATAACAGCAAATGGAACAATACAATGGTATAAAATGGGCAAGATTATAATTAATATGACCTTCGTTGAATCTTGTTGTATAAGTAATTTTATATTTGACTAAAAATATAAGATTAATGTTGCAACGCATAATGCTTAAAGTACACCGTACAATCAAATTGGCAAACAGCCGTTCAACCGTCGACATCCGTACCAGTTTATATATGTTGGCACAGAAAACACAAATGACGGACGATAAGTATTCATCTTTTTTTAACTTATCCCATGTTATGGATACATAGTCAACATCCAAAGCAGCATAATCACAAATTTCTGGTCCTGTGCAAGCTTTTCTTCACGTTAATTTTGACTGAAAATAATCCCACTTTCCGATGAGATGCGGCATTTTTTTAAAGTAAAAAACATATATTTTCTCATGATAATAAAACCTTTTATCATACGATTCGTAAACGTACGGAAGAGCATTAGTGCCAGGTGTATGTTTTTTATTAACTCGAAATTTCGAGTTACTAACTCGAAATTTCGAGTTACTAACTCGAAATTTCGACTTACTTATCTCGAAATTTCGAGTTACTAACTCGAAATTTCGACTTACTTACTCGAAATTTCGACTTAGTAACTCGAAATTTCGACTTACTAACTCGAAATTTCGAGTTACTTATCTCGAAATTTCGACTTAGTAACTCGAAATTTCGACTTACTAACTCGAAATTTCGAGTTACTAACCCGAAATTTCGACTTAGTAACTCGAAATTTCGACTTACTAACTCGAAATTTCGAGTTACTTATCTCGAAATTTCGACTTAGTAACTCGAAATTTCGAGTTATTAACATTACAAGAATGGCCAAAGTTATTAGTTAGATGGTATAAGATATAGTAGGCAGTGCCTTTGAACGATGGAGATGGAGAAACGGGTGCCTGGACAAAAACTATTGAAATTTAACTTAAACTTAGTAATGGCATGTACACACCCGACCTAAAAAAAACAAGGCTTCCTTTAATTTGTACGTTCAGGCGTTCTTCAGACGTTGTATTGTATCTCATCTGTTCGAACATATCTTTTCACTAATCATATTCTTCTCATCCCTGTAAAAAAACCGATCCTATACTTCACGTGTGGGACATCTGAGGAAAGTATCGCGGCGTGGCCAAAATAGGGCGTGCTGAGGCCTTTGTCAAAATTGTTGGACTGACTATATTTCTTGTAAAATCGGATGCTTTTAAATTTAAATTATTCCCAACATATATATAACAACAAGTATCACTTTTATCAACTTTTATCAACACAATATCAAAGTATTAGTAAATAATGAATAATGTTACAAAAACATTATTAGTATAAAGAAACGTGACAGACTAACTGGCGTATACACGCCAATTAAAACTTATTTAACACATGATATTGCACAGTTTACAATAGGGTGGGTTTTGGACTTGTTGTTTCTCCACATGATGGTTGTATGTGTGCTTAAGAAAAAGAAACACCCGGTTAACACAGAAATGTGGAAAGTGTGATTTTACAAAGCCCCCCCCCCCTCCACAAAAAAGCGAAGGATATGTTCAGTATGTGTGGACAATTTGACCCTATAAAATTGTTCTGTTAAATAAATGTTAAAGGTGCTCTGTCAATGTGCAACAGCTACACACGAAAGAAAGTATCTTGAATTCAATCCTTGCTTTCACCGGCAACCAATGAAAGTCGTGCAATGTAAGTCGAAATTTCGAGTTAGTAAGTCGAAATTTCGAGTTAGTAAGTCGAAATTTCGAGTTAGTAACTCGAAATTTCGAGATAAGTAAGTCGAAATTTCGAGTTAGTAACTCGAAATTTCGAGTTAGTAACTCGAAATTTCGAGATAAGTAACTCGAAATTTCGAGTTAGTAACTCGAAATTTCGAGTTAGTAACTCGAAATTTCGAGTTAATAAAAAACATACACCTGGCACTAATGCTCTTCCGTAGGTATTCTAGTTTAAGTGTCGTCAAAATTTGAGTAACGTCATCAGCCGTTCGCCTCTTTTTTTAATGATAACATCGACAGCCGTTCATCACCAAGAATGAATAACGCTGAAAATTGTTCAAGGAAACAATTTTCAGCGCTTTTTTTTGCTACAGTAAATAGGAAAGAATAAAACTTTTTTGTTCATTTAAAATATTCTTCAATATTCATTATACTTTCTTAAAGACCTCATGCTTACGAAATCCATCTACACTTCGAAGACTATCAGAGACCGGTGTTACTTTCTGTAAAGTTCGCAGGGAAGAACTGTATAAATGTGGTGTTTTCATTGGTTAGTTGAATATTACAAACTAAAATAAAGAAATCTCAGTGGTCATTCTAAAATAATGAAATACAAAACAACAAACGTATCTTTGACTATTTTCAGTGCAGTAAATATTTATTTACGAACACATACTTTACACTATATAAATAATCATGTGCAATAAATATAATTTATATAACATATTTTTGTTTACTATTATGTATAATGAAAGACAATGTACTAACTTCAAAATTGCTACCTATAATATTACAGTCTTTTTTCTCAATCACATTTTATTGATATACATACACACAGGTATTCGGCGTGTGTATGTACTAACTTCAAAATTGCTACCTATAATATTACAGTCTTTTTTCTCAATCACATTTTATAGATATACACACAGGTATTCGGCGTGTGTCAAAGACCATAATGACCACCCTCCCCTCTCCCACCATCCCATATGCTACGACCCGACTACTTTATTAATTAAAAAAAATGATGACTATATAAATTGATATAGTCATCAAAAAGAATACTATCAACGTTAATTTGAATAAAATTTGTAATACAGACTTTCCGTTATTGACAAAATCACTTTTAGCATAATATTTTGTTTTGTATTTATTTCAAAAATCAAAACCATCCCATGATTGCCGATATTACCGTGTTAATACATTGATACCCAGGTCAATTCTCGTTACGAGCTTAGTCTAGATGGTTAAGGAATTTATATAATTAGTATAACACGGTTAGAATTACTTGTAAATAATTCATGTTTCAATTCTCTTTTTATGCAACTGGGCAGTCCTATAGGAATTTGTTTTTGAACACTATACTTCCTGATTTACGTCATTTCTTCTTTTTTTTTCTCAATGTCACTTACCCGCCTTTTTATAGTAAATATTGCATATATCAGTATACAGACACTTTTCATCTCTTCGATATCGTTTCATTCGATGTCACAGTTGGTGGCACAAACAACTTCTTTTTCACATAATCCAAGCGTTTGTAGTAGTTTGTATCTATTTGTATATCATCAACATACTGGTCCCACGTTTTCTTATACATAATTTCTTCTAAGCAGTCAAGCGCCAGGAACTCGTAGTCCAGGTTGAATTTATTTGCGAATAAACCGATGTCGTTGTAGGCTCTATTTAGATCACCTACACCCAAAACACATACATTTCGTACATATTTCCCAGCACAACCTCTCACATACACAGAATGACCATACTCCCAATTTTTGTAACGCATTAGTGAAGGTTTGAGTGGATATTCTTCAGCGTCGCCTTAGAATAGAAACAATAATAATGCATAATTAACTAAAGATAAATGCTAATATTTTAAGGTTGTCGTTAACATAACACAACAGAAAATATAGAATATTATAATGTTGAAATATGGATAAACTTAGAAATTCATTCACGTCAATGCATTATTTTGGATAAATTATTATAGATATATAACTAATGATAAATCAAAGCACAGAAGGCTCTGAATTTGTGTCAGAAAGGTGAAGGTTGTGAGATTATAAACCAGTCTGTTTTTGTATAGTGCAACCAATGCTGTTTCCAGTGTTATAACTACTAAACTGGCTATAAGGCTTATTGCAACGCTGATATTCAATTCAATGTTTATTCGGCTTAAGCAATTGAAAAAAAGAAAGAAAGAAAGAAAAAAAAAAAAAAAAAAAAAAAAACAAAAAAAAACAAAAAAATACGTGAGTTGCCATAACTGGAATTTGAACTTCAGACCTTTCGCTTACTAAACGAGCGTGTAACCCCTCGACCAGGGGGAAGTTATAAATGACAGCCTGAAGAAAACCATATTAATCTGAATAAGGGTTTGGAACCCTTATTAATTTTGAGATATTTTGTTCACGGTAAACCTGTTGTTTAACACTGATGTTAATAATCACGGAGCTAAATTTAAGCCTGTATATATGTGAAGAATAAGACAATATTAGAAATCTCCGATCAAATTGCGGACTATTTTTTCTTCCCCGGGAAGGCTTGAAAATTAATGCGCCTGTCATTTGACAATCTTTACGCAGTGATCTCCCCTTAATTTATTCGGCGTTAGTGTACTTATAACGGGAAGTAACCGCTTCAAGGAGTTCGGATTACTTTCGGTTTTTGCAAATAAACATATCAGGCCATTATTTGTTTGATCTGACGACCCAAACAAACAAAAATAGTCAACATTCTATCTGATTAAATCATATTACGTAGAACCACTAACATACATATATTTGCCGTAAAAAAAATATTTTCCTATTTCATTTATTCACAGCGATTTAAGATAATCTCGAAATACAATTTCAACCAGGTACTCTATAGCGACAATATGTCTTATAATGCAAGAACAGAACACAAAACCGCGATTACAGCGGCACCTACCTAAAAATGAACCATTTATTCCAAGATGCGGATTGTGATTCAATGAAGCGAAAAAAGTCTCGTCTGGTATTTGAGTTTTCTTCAGCCATTCCAGGAAGTCTAGAGCGATTTGATTGTAAAGAGCAAATTGAACAAAATGTCTGTTTACAGCTACATGTATTGACCCTTTGATTGGCCGGATTTTATGTGGTGGTGGTTTGCCGGCTATCGTCCAGCGGTAAAAATATCTGATGGTGGCCCTGTAATGAGTATTATTATAACTTAGTTTATTTATTAATGGTATCGTGGCTAAAATTCATATGACTATTCATATGAATACTTATCTATATCTCCAGTATAAGCGTGTGTAGGTTAATCTTTGATATGATCGCTAAACATGTTCTTATTTTTTACTGTTGCTTAGCTTAATAAACAATACAAAAAGAAGATGTTTAGCGATCATATCAAGGATTAAGGTATACACTCCTAGAAAATGCACACATTAATTTAAATTGATTTATTGGACAAAGAGAAATAAATTTCCACAATTTTTACTTGCATCAGAAAATAGTAAGTATTCAGTTAATTCAGATATTGACAACAATAAAATATCATGTCACATGAATGCGTTGAATATGAAAACTGTAACTGAAAAGGATTTGAATGAAGGTCTATTCTATTCTATTCTATTCTATTATATTCAATTATATTTTATTCTATTCTATTCTGTTCTATTCTGTTCTTTTCTTTTCTATTCTGTTCTGTTCTGTTCTATTCTATTCATTCTAAAGCAATGGATTTGTTTTCTATTCAAATTAAACACAAATTATCATGTGTTACTTTATTTTAATCTTCTTACAATAAAAATCTCCGACTACTCATATATTTTTAGTAATAATGGTTTCGGACTGGTTACATGGCGGTTGTAAGCGCAAATTTTATGAGCGTGGGACTCAATATATCTTATTCTAAAATTGAATCTGTACGATCTCCCGTTACAAAAGCAAGACTAACATTTTAAACGAGCTTTGACGACGCATGGCATATTTGTTGAACTAAAAGTAGACAAAAAAAAAAAAAACAACAACAACAACAACAACAAGAAAAAAAAACAACATTGCCTTGGCAAATAACCGCCGTCAAAAAGTCATTTTCTTCTATACTTGGAGACTTTCCACCTAAGCTTGTTCCACTGTCTAATTTTTAAGATACTTAAGTATTATCTATTACCTGTTTGTTGTCAGTAACCTTGACTCCAATTAATCCGATATCAAACGCCCACGGATATAATAATTATCTTAAAACGAATTGTGTATCATACCATGTATCTTACCTTATCCAAGTTCCATCGACAACATTTGCGCCGTCTAGGGCATTTAAAATGGCAACTATTTCACGGTTTGTTTTCAGAGGAAACTCTTGACCCGTTAGATTTATATAATACTTCCATTTCTTGTGTTTCATCAACTTTTCCATACACAGAAGTTCGGCTTCCAGAACTGAAAATTCACCCCATGTTACATTAAGAGATTTGTCTGCGATAAACACATTATCCAAACACGCAACAATCCTTTCAAATGCCCGTCGTTCAAGCTGCTTCATTTTAGAATCCAAATGTAGACAGTAAAAATTATGTGGTCTATAAATAGAACGTAATAACCTTTCAACTTGCTCTACGTCTCTGTAAGCCGTTATTCCGAACGCGAGCGGAAAGTCTAGCTCCATTTGTGACAAAGGATGTTCTATGTATCCACGACCTCCTCGAAAGTTTACACAGTCATACGTTCTTGCATATTTATCGACGTCGATACCACGTCTTGGAAAATGGTTCATAATCTGTTTAGCTTTGGCAATTTCACTTACATCATTTTCCAATAGCTTGTAACAATCTACTCCCGCATTCATATCTGGTCGTTTAAATGTGTCATAAATCGTCTTGCGGTATTCTGGATTATACGCTAGTTTCGTGTCATACTGACCATTCCATTTATATAATTCTCTGGCAGATTTCTGCTTAACATGCACGTCTTGTTTTTTCTCTTCATTTTGTATATTAAAATGTATATGGTCGTCTAAATCGGTTATATCAAATTTATTATCTACGTCCTCGATATCTTTTTCATTCTCTTGGGTCATTTCTGGTGCTTTATTTGTGACGTCATCTGCTTTACCAGACGATAAATGTCTGCTGAAACTGCGCGTGCCAGCATGTATATCAGGATCTGTTTCACTAGCCGCTGTATCACTTAACGAATTGGCTCCAGCTTGAACTGTTTTGTTTATTTTTTTGTAACTCTCTATAGAATCATTAAATGTACTTGTTTTATCATATATAGCCAAAGATAAATTCTTATATATATGTACGGTACTATCATTGAAACGTTCTGACCCCAGGTAGCTATTTTTAGAATGATATAAATTATCCGCTAGTAACCGAGATATGCTTCCTGGCACTTGCGCTTTTCTTGTTAAATTTTTCATAGGGGAGTTAATCCATACAGTTCGAGTTCTAAAACTCGTCTCAAGGTTATTTCCCTGTATTGAAATGATAACGTTGTAAACAAAGAATAGACCCGTCACTCCATAGAAAACCGCTCTGATTGTTTTATATCCTTTCATCCTGAAAAGAAAAGGAATTCAAATAATATGAAGCAGTAACTAACAAATCATATCATTCTAGGCATCAAATTTGTGAAATAAATTGTAGCTATGTTAAGTCACGCCGGCATAGTAAGGTCACATGGTCATTGAAATGTGAAACAGGAAATTTAAAAATCTCTTAAAACATAGCAACATCATTCACCCAGCTTAAACCTATCAATATAAGTCACCCAACTTAAACCTATCAATATAAGTCACCCAGCTTAAACATATCAACATCATTCACCCAGCTTAAACCTATCAATATAAGTCACCCAGCTTAAACCTATCAATATAAGTCACCCAGCTTAAACCTATAAATATCAGCCAACCAGCTAAAACCTAATCAATATCAGTCACCCAGCTAAAACCTTATCAATATCAGTCACCCAGCTAAAACCTATCAATATAAGTCACCCAGCTTAAACCTATCAATATCAGCCAACCAGCTAAAACCTAATCAATATCAGCCACCCAGCTAAAACCTAATCAATATCAGTCACCCAGCTAAAACCTATCAATATAAGTCACCCAGCTTAAAACCTATCAATATCAGCCAACCAGCTAAAACCTAATCAATATCAGTCACCCAGCTAAAACCTAATCAATATCAGTCACTCAGCTAAAACCAAATCAATATCAGTCACCCAGATAAAACCTAATCAATATCGGTCACCCAGCTAAAACCTATCAATATTAGTCACCCAGCTAAAACCTATCAATATCAGTCACCCGGCTTAAACATTTTAATATCAATCACCCGGCTCAAATCTATGGATCAGACTTGATCAATACGAATACATTGAAGTACAAAGATGTTTAAAATTCTAAAATATTAGTATATAAATCATTGCACTAAAAGTATAGGTCCCAAATATAGGTTACACCGTCAGTTATACTCGTATAGTACTCTTCAAATACCGCAGTTATAAATTTTATAAATATAATTTTACATTTGTTATCTATCCAGGACATCTCAACAATAAAGAAAGAATTAAACAGTTAACACGTAAAATGTGTAATCCGGTATAAGATATTCTCAACTATTGAATATCGTATAGATTTTTCCTACATTGCAGTAGCTCTACCTTCAATGCTTTAATCTTGTCTCACACTGACTGACCATGATTCATGTTGGTATACCATGATTTACGCTGAACGAACAGGATTCATAGTGAAAAATCATAATTTATGTTGATAGACCATGATTTAAAATGACCGACCATGCTGCACGCTGACCGATGGCAATCCATGATTTATGTTGATAGACCATGATTCATGTTGTTAAACCATAATTCATGTTGATATACCATGATTCATGTTGATTAACCATGATTCATATTGATAGACCATGATTTATGTTGACAGATCATAATTCACGATTCATCTTGACAGACCATAACTCATGTTGATATACTATGATTCACGTTGACGAACCACGATTCATGCTTAACATAATTCTACGCCGGCAGACCATCATTCACGCCTACCGTCAATGATTCATGCTGATATTCCTTAGAGATATTTCACGCTAACGGACCATGATTTACGCTGCCAGACCATAGAATACGCTGTAAGGGCTTTCAGGCTAATCTAAATTTTCGCATTTCCATCGAATATGTAAAAAATGAATAAAAGGTTTAAATGTGAATTTATGAAAAAATTACTATCTCTTTTTTACCAAGTTTTAACATTTACAGTTTATAAATATAAAACACATTGAAGTTACACAAATCACCCTGACAAACCGTTGATGAATATCCGGAAATTAAAGGAACATTATGTCTCAGAAATAAATAAATTTTTACTTCTTCAGAAAGGACAATCATGAATTTTATAATGTTAAAAAAAATACTTTTTTTAGAGAAACGCTAGATGCTTAAAACCTGCAAAAAAGTAGCGATCATTGAGAGATAATTTGTTATAAGAGCACATGTAGCAAAATATAAACAAAGTAGTTTTTTGACTTCCATACAAAATACTACTTCATTATTAACTATAACAGATCAGCAAAATAATTTAGGAAATTGGCTAATGAGTAACTTTTTGGATACTATAAAAGTACACCAAAATTAAAAAGCTTTTGAGAAATGAAACAAAAAGCATTTCTGAGGCATAATGGGCCTTTAAAGATCGAAACAAGTCAGTTTAAAAGTTACCTGTTAAACTAGGTTAATAGCCTCCTTGTTAATGGTGATCATTTAACGCGAAACATTCCTCTTCAATTTGTAACTGAAATGTCCAAGACCTGTGTTTAGCGAACACTTTCATAAAGAAGACATTTATAAAATAAATCATCGGGAAAAATATTGTTAAAACATAATTCATTTTCCGTTTGAGACGTTCTACAAATAAGACGAGTGGTTCGGTAACATTTTTCATTGACCGTATCATATATCATACAAATAAAACAATGTTTAAATAGGACTACTAAACTGTTCAATGCTTTATTTCTTTAAGTCATTGTATTTCTGCAGCGTATTTACAATTTAAATCTATTGTTAGTCCCCGTTCTATGACTAAAATCGCATAGTCAATATTCAATTTTGATCTGTAGAGCGGTAAGAGAAAATTTAATACCTATTTCAATTTAAGTAAAGGCCGAAATGTCAATATTTTTACTGTTTTTTCTAGGTTTAAGCATATATACAATTAAAATGGCATTAAATAATTATCCTTTTTTGGATATCAAAACGTTATCTTGACAGGTTGTGAAGAAATGACTGAATGACGTACATTGATATGGTGTGATTTTAAAGCTGCATGCCACCAGATGAGCCAACATATTTCAAGAATTAACCTTGAGAAAAATGTACTAAGATTTTAAGAAAGGTAAAAATATTCACAATCCAAGAAACAATTTTTCTGTTATATGCAATTAATGACTAGTTTTGTATTATTTATCAATATTTCTTTCTGCGTGACTAACGCATTAAGGACTATTTTTGCATATTCTGACCTATTTTTGATAATTTTCATAGATTTAAAGTATCGTTTGCAATGTGTAAATTACTTTCTTTGTTTACTTGACAATATTTTACAATTAAATAAATTTCAAATTTTTTCATGAAAATAAGCACGATTTTTTTAGGTTTGCGGCTTTCAAGAAAAAAAATGAAAAAAATGGGAATATAATTTTCATCTTTTTACTATTATTATTATTATTATTATTATTATTATTATTATTATTAAACGGAAAAAACCCACCCCGAACAACACACAAAACGTCATTACTGTTCATTAACTTTTTTGCTTAAGTTTGAATCACACAAATATACATGTCTGTATAAAATGTTTCATCTCTCTAAAATTGTAATATTAGATCAAATCAGTCTTACAATAAAGTACAAAATAATCTAAAGAAGACGCGAGCAGTGACGGAATATGCCGAGTGCTCACGAAATTTAAGTGGATCTCTACATAAAAGTCAGGTCTGATTATCATAGAGATTATATCATAAAAAAACTTGTTTCCGTTGTTGTCAGTGATATGACGTAAATTTGATACAATTATTCCAATGGGAGTGTACGTGGGAGAAGTAAATATTGAAACAATGTATTAGAAAGGATATTTTTGGTCGACATTAAAGACCACTTATAGCCGTTTTAAACACAATTGATATACTAGTATTGATATATCTAATAGTTTACATACTTGTTTTGAAGCATAGTAGAAAATAAACCATTCATAAGCCAAGGCAACCATGAAGGTTACAGAGTTTGAAACGGAATAAGCATTATTATAAATAAAGACGTTTGTGTTTGTATGTGGTGTTTGTATGCATGTGTGTGTGTGTGGGGGGGGGGGGGGGGGTGGTGGTAGAGGTGTTTGCATGCATGTGTGTGCAAGGATGGGAAAATAGGTCGTTAGCTACATAATTTCTACTAATATTCATATATGGAATATGAATAGATACGAAGCTTGTCTTTTGCGCATATTAATTCAAAGGGTATTATTCAAAAATAAGTCAGAAAAAGCTACCATTACTTAAAAATTGCCAAACGTTTAAATATGTATACAAATTTTCCCTGTATCCAAGTGCACACTTCATTTTGAAACTGAGTTTATTTTGAGTAAACGTTATCTGTATGACTTTTAAAAGGTAGTTTGATGAAAATAAATATTCTTTTATCATATCCCTGAAATATAGAGATAGGTATTTAATGGTTTTTACGTTAACCGGTGCCATGTGGAAATTATAATTTTGATACACGAACATTTTCATAGGGGAAGGTCAATTTTCCAATACATATTTCATTTGAGAAGCCACCTCTTTATAGAGACCGCACCTCAAATTACAGTTCTTCAATCAGAACGAATAATAAACGGGGGTCTCTTTCAACATTTAGTGGGGTAAACCACAAACGCGCGCGAAAAGGGATCCGCTATACTATATGCTTTCTCCTACTTTGTAACTTTTGATTTTGTTGCCCTACCAAGAACATTTAATTTTTCGAAAAAAAAAATAAAATAAAATACGAAAACAATAAAACAAAAACGATAACAACAACAAAAACAAAACTGATTGGCAGTAAAGAGTCAGATGAAACGACGCGTCTTAGAATCATGTGTTCTCGGTTGTACTTAGAATTTCAATTTCTTCATATGCGGATGAAAACACGCTTTCAAAGTTAACGAAACCGTAAATAGCCCGTATGAAGACCGACGAAGAGTTAACAGAGTTTTCCAGACAGTGTGGCATCAGTGTTAATGACAATGTTTATCATCCGAGAGGGGAACGGAGGATATTTTTGTCATAAATCAAAGACTGATATTGTCTTGGCGCCGTTTGTAATCACCATGTGATAAATGGATGATTTTTGCATAAAACATACATAAAATCCATTTTATATTTATGTACATTTTTGTTTCGTTTTAACACTACACCGGCGGTTAATACTAACGTGAATAGTTCAAATGAGTCTGGCAGTTAATTAATACCGTACATGAAACGTAGCATGGAAGAAATCTGTGGTTTTGGTAAAGGAAATTAAGAAGGACAAGTGTGTCAAAGTTATATATTAATATGAGGTTATTAGTACAGTGTTGATTCTATTTGACGAGTAAACAGCTGTCAATTCTCTATTGGACAGGTGCAAAACCGAGTCTGATACAGGTTTTGCAGTTGTGTACGAGTCCAACAGAATCAGTATTGTTCACAACAATGTGTATTCACACTACCATTTTTAGACATTTTGACGGAAAGGGCCAAAAAATTGCGATTGTTGAAGAGGCAGTTTATTCACATTAAATATTCCAGTCCATCGGCTTATTGTTTATTATCTTTTGAATTGGGTTTTACAGTGCTTCTGTTCACTGAATAAAGATATCTTGACCAGCCACAAAGGAAGCACAACGGACACAAAAGACACTTTCCCCTATAAAAAATGCTTATACGTTTTAATACAAACTGTGTTTGCAGTAATACTGTTGTCTGGACGAAATTGAACTGTCATAATATGTATATAAAGAATATTGTAGTTGTCTCGGCAATATTTCCATTTAATTTACCACTCAGATAATCTGCCGGGAACAGTAAATAACGTTATTAAAACTTAAAATAGTAACAATACCCTAACTTTGCTGAAACGACAATTTCAGGCACGAATTCCTGACATATGGAATTGTTCACTTAAATAGAAATACACCAATTTCTAGTCACTGTGAAAGTAGAATCCTTGTTTGTGACGTTTATGGTAAACTGATTTATGGGTGAAGAGTCTGGGGTGGTGGGAGTAGGAGGAAGTGTCTGGTACCGAAACAAGTTCTCCGCTTTTTGTAAAATTGCAATATTAACGATTCGACGTATGCAATTGCAGTAACTTATTAGAATTGTTCACTGTCAGAAGTAACATATTGACTGTTTCAAGTAACAGATATTTTAACATGAAGGTTGTCATGTTAGTTATGATCCCTTCATAATCCATTACATATGTATAGTCTTTATTTGAGGTTTATCCAGACAACAACGCTAAACAATTCAATTAATAAAACTTGTTCCATTACAAGATACAATGGAAGGGAGGCCACTCTGCAAGAATTTCCAACATAACTTACACAGTTATCTCTCTTCTCATTCCATATTGATATGCAAATTACAACTAAAATAAGAAACTATTGCTAATCTTGTTAAAAAAGTCTGGTACAATTGTTTTATAGAATAACAAATTTATATCTGAGCAATATTTGCTTCTGCTGCATTTTGTCAATTAGTATACTTATAGTGATTATGTATTTTGTAGAAGTCCAAATACCACTTTGAAATGTGAATGCATATTATTGACATTACATTCCTGTCATCGCTATGAAAATACTTTTATATTTGAAATTTCAAATTTACTGTTTCAGCATAAATTTCTGATTATATTTCAATTCATAGATTAGCGAAAATGAAATCAAGCCATCACATATTACCTAATATGATATTAGCAAGAATCATAACAAATAAGTGATATTTAAATTAAATAACTTTGTAATAAAATAAGGATTTATTGTCAGACTAAAGTAATTTTGCCACACACTTATGACTTTCATCTGTGTTTCTTTTTTTTCCGTGTTATAAAAAGGCTCCATTTTTATTCAAATATTCATAAAGATTAATAAAGAGAAATAATTTACCATCCTCTGAAATTACTTAATGTGTCAAAATATACGCCAATAAATAAAACATCACATTCAACTGTCGCTGATTTAAAAGCCAAACTCTTGTAGTGAAGATAAATGGCCTCCTGATCATTGTAAAAAATGGAATAAAATCAAAACATTTCACATCATCTGACAAAAAAGATTGAAAAAGTGTCTAGACTAATTCTAAAGCCGAAATAATATTTATGATTTATACCTTAATTTGATCATCAGTGGCTAGTCAAATGTCATTCTTTTTTGCCAAAGATATATTAATAAAACAATTTTCCAGACTTAATTCTCTCATGAAGTAATCGAATTATGGCTTTGTTGAGAGAGCATTGATTCGAAAAAGTTTTATTTTTCTAAGATTTGTATTATTAAGAGTAAACATTTTTCTTTAAATGTTTAACATTGTGTATTTGATTGATTGAATCCTAAATGAAGAATGAATTAATTCAAAATGTAATTTCAAGCAGAAATTATTTAGACATCATTCAAATAAAATGGTAAGTTAGTTAAAGTCCATGTTATCTTTTTATTATGCTGATATGATAATATAAATAAAATATTATCAAATTTGTATCGCAGTTTGTATTTGCTACAGCAAGTTTGAGCTTGATGAAAGGAAACTTAAAACATATTACCGGCTCCAATGATGACAGATTTCTATAGTGCTGACAGTAATCTAAAATTCACTTACAGTAATCTAAAATTCACTTATTGCTACAGGTATGTTATAAACATGATTGTATATTTATATTACGCTAATAA